TATGGGGCCTGTATAGGATTTTAAAACTTGTGCTTTTTTTCTGCTTGTTACCTTCCTTATATCTGCCTTAAGAAAATGTGAGTCTTTTGACTGCTTTTCCTTCTGTCCCCAGCTGCGCTATGGACTCCTGTGGAGCTGCTCCAGCCTTGTGGCCGCACAGCAGGCCTTCCGAAGGGAAGGGAAGGGAAGGGAAGGGAAGGGAAGGGAAGGGAAGGGAAGGGAAGGGACACCAGTAAAGCAGATTCCTTCATAGCAACCCGCACTACCAGGCAAGCTGCCTCGCTGTCCAGTGTGTATGTGTGCACATGTTGCACAGCTCTTCATCGGGCTCAGGAACTAGTGCTATTCTTCCATGTCACATACAACATGTACAAGCTTTAATGGTAATTAATTAGTTTAATGGTAATTTGATTTTATGAGTGGTAAAACCATTTACTGTACCTGCTTGCGGCCTGCTGCAGTACCTGCCTCGAATACTGAGAAGTATTCAAAATCCTTGACCTGCAGAGGGGTTAGTTACGCAAGGGAAGTCACCAGCATGAAGCAACATTGCTTTCTGTTTTCTCTTAGCACAGAATTCCCCTCGTGCCTGGAAATGAATTCTGCCTTAAAGCCCAAGACAGCACAGGCAACCAGCACCAAAACCCTTCAAGGATTTGGCTCATCATCATAGGGAGCATAAATCTGCTTTCCTTTTGAATTACTATTGAAAGAACAACAAGAACAAGAACAACAAAAGCGATGATAATCTGGCAAAAAGGTTTTATCTATGAGATTCCCAAATCCCAGTTTCATACTCATACGTCACAGCACAGCAGCCAGGAAACTTCATCTGCAAATCAAGAAGAAAAGGTTGAGAAGGGATCTTACCAACATGTACAAATACCTGAGAGGAGAATGTAGAGAGGAAGCTCTGAGCACTGAGCTCTTCTCAGTGGTGGCCAGTGACAGGACAAGGGGCAATGGGTTTAAGTTGCAACACAGGCAGTTCCATCTCTAYGTGAGGTAAAACTTCTTCACTGTGAGGGTGCCAGAGCCCTGGCACAGGCTGCCCAGGGAGGCTGTGGAGTCTCCTTCTCTGGAGATCTTCCACACCCGCCTGGCTGCCGCCCTGTGCCCCGTGCTCTGGGTGTGCCTGCTGGAGCARGGAGGTTGGACTAGATGATCTCTAGAGGTCCCTTCCAACCTCAGCCCTTCTGTGAATCTGTGAAATCCCCAACCTGCAGACAGCACAGSGTCAGTGCAGGGTAGCTCAGCGCAGGGTGAAATGTTGTGGGGGGAGGCACGTGATTTATATACACTTTAACTTTTCCATAAAAGAATATGAACATGGTACGACATGGCAGCATGGTGTCATATACTGCACCCAAGTAACGAAGAACTAAATTCTGGTACATATTGCTCAAAGTGACTGTCAAAAATAACACAGCAGAGTCAAAATGACAGTACACTCCACCAAAATAAATAAATAAATAAATAAAAGCAATAGCTATGGAAAGACTAGGAAGAAGTACAGGCTCATACTCTAGATCTTGCCCACAAGTTAGTCTGCATTAGTGAATTGCCAGAGTTGTCATTCATAGCAGATTGTTCAAAATAAACACAAGTATTGAATTTGCTGAGGTTCCTGGTTCTGACTGCTCCTTCACTGAGGGGAAAAAAAAATAAGCAGCTGTTTATCACTGTCGCTAATATAGGAGCTTATCCCAGAAACTTAGATTTTTTTTTCCTCTCCTCTTTCTTACCTGAGGAATTGACTGATTCAGTTGTTACTTAAAAGAACAGCAGAACATCTGGGAATAATGTACTTTGAGAGGAACAAAGCACTTCCTACATCAGTGATTTTTATTTCCAGGTTCATATACACAAATTCCTACATAAATCCTACCAGGGAGGCATTGTTCTCAAGCATACCACTCAGGGGCTTTTTTTTTTTTTTTTTTTTTTTTTTTTTTTTTTTTTTTTTTTTTAAGGGAAAAACAGCACTATTACAAATAAAATGACTAAGCCACGAAAGTGTTAGTATGGGGCACAAATTTGTACAGGTTCTTCCTCTCTTCATCTCATAATATCCCACAGCAAGGATGGGGTTATCTGTCCTTTCAACTGCATATAAAAGTCAACTAAAAGTGGTCAGAGAAATGAATTAGTTGAATTAGAAAATTAACCTGGAATTAAGTCAAAAAACATACCATAGAAATGGCAAAAGTATGATTTTGAAAATGCTAAAAATACACTTTTCTGAAATTAAACACTTTCCAGAAGAAGCTCACTCTGGTAAAAAATGTCAATCACATTGAATGCCAACCAACATTGAATGTCATCACTCCTAAGTTACATAGGTCTAGGCACATCTGTTAAAATAAATAAGGTTTGATCTTCTTTGCTCACCACAAAAAAAACAGATGTCCTACATCTAAGAATGCAGCTCTTCAGGGATCTTGAGATGATGAAAAATGATGTAGCTCCCTAGTTAGTATCATGGCCCTTGGGCAACTGCAAGTTCCTGATGGCCCATCCCACCTGGGTCACAGAGACTACCAAGSCCATGCACCAAGGTAAGTCAGTAAAGGGGTAAATGTCTCCTGCAGTCCTCATTTGCAGGAAGGTTAGTTTGTCAAGCTCCAGATAAAAATCAGTGTGYGAGCTGGTTTTGCCCACGTGGACAGTTAAGTGCTGTGTGAGCATGAGCTCTGCAAGAATGTGATGAGAAAAGAGTACCTCAGAGCAGAGTACCTACATGAACAGGCCCTGCAGTGCCAGAGCAGCCCYGCCGTAACCTCCTTCAGTCCCGAGTAGAGGAGGTGGCAGGTTGGCAAGAGTTGTTTGTTTCATGCAACTGGAACATTGTCATTTTACTTAAGGCCTGTAAAAACTTATCAGAGGCCAAGGGTGCTTTAAAACACAGTTGAAAGTCTGGTTGTTGGGGCAAAGCAGAGCAGCTGCCAGTCCTATACCCAGCACCAGCTCCCCAGACTCAGACTGGAAACAGACAGTTGCAGTCACCCTCCCGACCACCAGCTGAAGGGAGGTACCACCTCAAGTGACCTTGCTATCACACGGCACACTTCCATGCTTCTTTGGGCTCTTCATGACTGAACAACCTCACCCACGAACAGCCGCTGCCCTGCGTAACAGAACAGAGCCATTTGTGAACCACACTGTGCAAGTTCAACATACTCCAAGCTCAATGTGCCTCATGTGCACCCTTTTCAACCTCTCCCCCGCCACAAACACACACACAAAGTGAAAAGTAAACGTTAAGTTTATTTAACAACCTTTACTTTTTTAAAAATCTTAAATTATACTTCCAAAATACAAGCTAAAAAAAACTTTTACTAACGTCTACAAAATAATCTAAATAATAATGCACTTACATCATTTACACTTTCGTCTTTCGCAATAAAATAGGAGCGCTCAGATCAATATTTACAATATTGACAGAGGACGCGGTTGCACAGCCATCTATTTCTGCTGCTGTCTCTTGCTGGATTACCTCTGGGAGGCTGCATGCCACGCTTGTGCACACCTGCGCAAACCCTTCTGCAGGGAGAAACCCCCAACAAAGTCTTCTGAGGTATGGGGACCTGCCCATATGGTTCCAAAGAGACCAAAATGGTAGCAGATATTTGCTTTTTCATCTCAAAGCTGCCACTGTAGCACTTGAGCGCACACTGATGAGGTATTTAAGGAATTCCCTGATTTAGAATTCTGCTTCACAACATTAGGCACATCATTATAAAAGTTATTTGTTATGGCTTATCCAAGCAATTTGCTTTCCTTAGGATAAATACTTGCTGGAGACATTTGGAGAAACAGATAAACTTTGAGCGTGTATTTTGAATTAGTCTGCACTCAAATTTTAGATGATAGTCCTTAACATCAGCTGTTAAGGAAACACCTTAACACCTGATCTTCCCAGCAAGGAGGCAGTATACTTTATCCCAAATTATTGCTAACTAGACTTTTCCCTGCTACAATAAGTTAATTACTTACATCCATGCTGTTCAATGTGCCATTGGGTGACATATCCCACGTATGATTGTCTTAAAAATACAGTATATTGATGGATTATATACACATTTCAACATGTAGAAAATAAAGTTGCAACTTACCAAATAATAAATATAGAACATCAGAGCACAATACTGAACTAAAATAAATTAGAATGGTATTAAAGGCCCCTAAATGCCTAAGCCAGAGACCTAAAAGAAAAAAGAAAAAAACATCCCACCAACTTGAGAAGGTTTGAGATATGGCTCCTTATTAATGCTGGCTGTTTGAAATGAAGGTGTTTAGCCAGGCTGACAAGTGTTTAGAGACTATATGATCAAATRGCAAAAACTTACCTCAAAAGGGGACCTTTGGGATAAAATAATTTAGACAAACTGTTAATACTGCATTTATTAGGAAGAAAATAGTTATTGCAGATTGYCTTATTTGATTCAGCAGCAAGGAAATAAGCATAGAGTTAAGTATAAGAACACAACGTATTTGTGAGGCAAATACGTGTTAGTGCACATGATTTTCCAAAACTTCACTCTTCAGCTACATTTGTGCAGATTTGAGAACGCTTCTAACTAGAGAGTCTTAAAAAGTCTTTTCATGACTACAGCTAAGTTTGCCATAATAAAATTAAAAATAAAATAAAATAAAAATCGTAACTGAAGCTCAATAATGAGCAACTGACTCAAAGCTGTCCAGACAGGAATGATGCCTCCAATTCCAATACATCAGAACACTGAGAAGTTTGGAATCAAGCTAAAATATATATATATATATATATAAAAGCAGTGAATCTGCCCTGAGGATTGCACTCTCACCAGGTCTGTAAACTCTGTGTGACGCCCCGTTTACTAGCAGAGGCACAGCCCCAGTTTCTCCACGCAGAGCCGTGCGGATGCCTCCTTGTCCATCCTCGCCTTCACGGCTCCTTTCTCTCTTCCCGGAGGATGAGGCGTTCAAAGCACTTGGGCGGCTCGGCGCGCGGGCCGCARGCGCTACATGGAGGGCGGGCTGACGGGCGTCCAGGTGGCGGCGAGCCGGGCGTGCGCCGAGGCCGAGGCCGAGGCCTCGTAGGGGCCCTCGGCAAGGTCTGTGCCGGCGCCGCCGTCGTAGAGCGGCGAGGCGGCGGCGTGCGGCAGCGCGGGGTAGTGCGCCGGCGAGGCGCGCAGCAGCTGGGAGCCCAGGCCGCCGGGCACGCCGCTCGCCTGCGACGCCGGCGCCACGCTGCCGCTGCTCACCGACCACAGGTTGGCGTACTGGCTGCGGAGACGGGGAAGGCAGCGCAGGTCAGCAGCGACTCCAGCGMCCGCTGGAATCGCACCGTGTTCACATCACATTATCACCGCCGCGAGGGCAAACGCGTTTGGTGCCGATGGAGAGTTTCTCATGGAAGCTCCCAGCCATCGCCAAGCACAAGGCACCCTTAGACCTGACCACTCTGCTCATGGCACCCCACTCACACATGTAGAACAGCTCCAGTTTCCAACAGCAGGCTCCCACAGTGGGTGAGAGAGTAATTTGGAGGCCAAGCGGAGGACTAAACAGGCCGGGCTGAGAAATGGTGATTCCCGTGGCAAGAAGACACCCTCACCTCGAGGGACAGCAGCCGCGTGGCACAGCTGGCCGCACACAGCAGCTGCTGAAACCAGCCACTTCTTATCCCATCTCCCATGGGGTCTCTCTCATTAGGGACAATTCCAGACAGCAATTTAGGCTTCCCAGGGCCTTGTTCATCACCTCATATTACAAGACAGAGATCTACAGCTGCATGTTACCAGGATACTCCAGAAAGGGCTGATATGTGAAAAAGCCTTCTCAGCACATTATAGCCTCCACACACTATCCTCCTCTGCATGTGTGTTTCATATATTTGTGTTTGCATGTGTATATTCATACGTATACATACTTGCATGAACACACACACATATGAAAATAAGTTGATCCTAGAGAAACATTATGAGAATTTGACAAATTTTATTCTTCTGAGGAATATCACTCAGCACTTTCCACTCCTAGATCTTTCCTTAAGGAAAGGTCCTATAGTTCCAGTTCTGCTGGTTTTATCTACTGGATGACTGTTAGTGCAGCAAATTATCAAGTGTAGCTCCAAGAATGACTGTAAGCTAAATCTGAGCTGAAGAATCAAAAAGTTTATTAGAAAGAAAACCACTTTCTTATTCTGTGATCATATAAATGTATCTAAGGAAGCCGTTTTRCCAAGTGCATAGAGCCATGAAGTCCACACTGGCTTAGCTGGCAATATTTGAGAGGGAGAAAAAATAATAATAATAAAAAAAAGTCCTACTCCAGCCACTGCTCCACCCTGCCACTCCACTGGAGTAGAGCAAAGGTTTGTGGAGACATACGGGAAAGGGACGGTTGGCGAAAATGAAACAGATTTAAAATAACCTTTTGAACACATTTTTGCTTAAAAAACCAAAGTGAGATGAAACCAAACAGAGCATTCTCAAATTCAATGGACATTTGTTTAAGTGATCGGTGTTTCTTTTTATCTAAAAGATGCCATTGTTGCAAGGGTCTACATTTCCAGAACCTAAATATCATAAAATTGGTTGTCTCCCCAATCTGCTTTCCCTGCAAATAGTCCATTTCAATACCTTCCCTGCACAAGTAGTAATGCAGATCTGTAATTTGATGATGACTCTACCTTGCTTTTTCCTTTTCTCTTAACAGAAAGCATCAATAAGCTGATTTAAGAGCTGCTAAGCGATGGACCCCTACCTGGAGCTGGTAGCTGTGCCACTGCTGTGAGTCATGGGCAGCATAGCCGTGTGTGCAGGAACTCCTAGGCTGGACCAGTTGTCATGGGACTGCAGCATGGAAAGGCAGGCAGAGGAATTGTCGGCATAGGTTGCTGCAAAGACAAGCAAGCACTTTAGCAAATAATCATTTGTTCAAACAATGTAGAGCATTAAACTAACCTTCCCCACTAAATTTTCTGCCATGAGGGAAGGAGAAAAAAAAAAGAAAAAAAAAACACACAAAAACACAATACACACACAGAGAGAAATAAACTCCGCTTCCAACTTCCCTGCTGTTCCCTGGCTGATGCACCGTTTTGCTCAGCTTACACCAAAGCCTTATTTCTATAAAGGACCTACAGACAAAAAAACATCTTCAAGTCACCTACTGATTCAGGACATGGTTATTCAGTCAGAGAGAGGCAATTCCTTTACTTAACTCTGTCCCAATCTCCTCCAAGGCACCTTTTTCACAGCCGCCACCTGCACTGGCAGTTCCCATCTGACATCCCAGTTTTGAGCTGACCAGCCAACTTAGCAGAAACACTAGGAAACTGTAGCAGGAATCCTGTTCAGCCATCTATAGCCAGATGACTCTGCAGTAGTTGGCTTTAAGGAGGCTTCTTTTGCCGAGGATGAGGATTGAGGAGGAACACAGGAGGGACTGTGTTTTTTTTTTATTTTGTTTCAGATGGCAAAACACACAGAAAATTTCACGATGGTTAAAAGTCCACAGCAAGCTAGTTTGCCTCTTTAAAATGAATTAAGAAACTATACATAGGACTGATCAGGCTGTGCCTGGAAGAATATGTATTAATTCATAATTCAAAATATATTTCTCTTTAAACGGAGACTTCAATATACATTACAGACCCATAGGCAAAAATTGTTGATAAGCCTTTTCTAGGAAAGAAAAAAGTCACTGTTCACAAAGTCCTGTTCTCTTCCCCTTAAGTTCAGGGCATACTTCTGAGCATAAAAATTAAATAGTTAYGCAATTTATTCAGCGCTATATTGCTACTGTGTGCCCAGTTCTGACATACTTATTGAGGCTAAACATTAACACATACAGATTGCAGTAGCTTAACATCAGTGCCAGTCAAACTCACAGAATGARTACTTTGATTATTTGCTTAAATACATTATTAACAAGTGACTATTAACAGAATGGGACATATGCTTATTAATTGTCCTTCCTATAAGGAAAGGTTAAAAGTCTCATTTTCAAACTTAAAAAAGAAAAAAAATCAAAATAGATTTAACCTCACTAGCACAAAACAAGGCTGGCACAGTATAATCTAATTAATTGACAGGAGACAGTTCTAAACAACCTCCGTTTCCCCACTGTAAGGGCCCTGGGAAACCTCCCTGTTGCAATTACTCCTTTGCAAGGGTGGCCCCAAGCAGAGGCCCAGCTAGGCAGGGACCTCACTTTCTGTAGGCTCACAGTGGTTTGAACTGCCCGGGGCTCGGGTGCCCGGGCTAACGTCCTACCTTGACACAGCTGCAAAGACAGACTTACTTGGCGAGTTGTTCCTATGGGTGTAGGGGCTGGCGTAGGGGGCAGAGCGGTGGTTCCTCAGCGCTGAGTACCTTTCACAGCCATGAGCGGGGGAGAGCGGCAGCGGGGCTCCAAACTGAGCGTGAGCATTGGCGGGGGGGCACAGAGTCCCGCTTCCAGGAATGAGCCAGCTACCTACTGGGGGGAAGCGGGAGCTCCGGTAAGGACCGCGCGCGCGGGCGGCACGAGGGAGCGAAAGGAAACCGCGGTGCAGCTGGAAAGAAACGGGTCTCAAAGCTTTCTTAAGTGATCACACAAAGGAAAAAACAATGTTTAAAAGGCCTAGTGGGAAAATAAAAGCACACACAGAGCCTTGCATAGAGCTAACACTTTTTTTGAAGGTGGCCGTTTAATTGCAACCACGGTAAGGAAGCACTGAAATGGTTAAACCGTGCCTTAAGTAACGCCTGCTCATTCTCCACGCTCAGGAGCGGCAAGCATATCCTTATAGTTTTAGGTTGCGCTTTTGGGGTCGCAGCTCAAAGCGATGCTTTGAGGTTTCTCAAACTGCTAAGAAAATTCCTTAAACATTGCTGCAGATATATGTTAGCAATAACTCCTCACAACAGAAATCAAAAATTCTAATGATTTTTTCTGCAGATCTGAAAAAGTAACTTCTTAAGTAAATGCTTCCAATTTTCCCAAAACACCTTAAACAGATTTCCAAACAGATGCAATACATTTTAATCTAATCAAAAATCTAATATAAAATGATAAAACTTTACAAACAGCATTCACAGGGACTGTTAATATTATTCTCTCATAACTCACAGTATGAACTATGCCAGTCAGCAAACATTTTCCTCTCAATGTTGCTAATTGATAAGATGAAAGCACTATGGACATAACAAAGAGCAAAAGCAAGCGTACATTGGGAATACCCAGACTGCTGGTTGTCTCCTACTTCCTCCATCATGTCTTTGTGATCACTTCTGCAACAGAAAACARCCTGAATTAGTTACGAGTATGTTTTCACAAATCTTTACAACATTCCATAAACTTTAGAATTGAGTGTAGTTAGGAGCTCTCACCTTTCTTTTGCATCAAGAAATGCCTTTGCAAAGGGATTGTATTTAATTTTTAAAGCTGTGATCTAAAAACAACAACAAATATCTTAATTTGCAAGTATCACTATTCATTATCATACAGAAATTAAAATTTGACTTAGAATTACCCATTGAAAAAAATGAAACCACCAATTCCCAAAGACACAAGATTAGGGCCATAATGCRAACTTTTGTGCATCACTAACAACATCTACAAATCATTGCTTAAAAAGCATTCATATGCCTTAAATATTAGCAATGGACTAGGAATTCTGCCATCCCCAGCTGACTCACTGACTTTTATCACCTAAAGAAAGGGTTCAGAAAGATAACAGGCTAAAGACGCTTCTAAGGAGCTGCAAATTTCAGGACAGAACAGAACAGGCAACAATGCAGATTCAATAAACAGAAAACATTATAGATTCAGTAAATATAGACATTTCAGCTAACAGAGTCAGTTTTAAAAATGACACATCCCGTTATTTCACTATGTACTTAAAAGTGAGTCATATCTCATCCTGCTTCCTTGGCCCAAAGGAGTTCCTTAGTTGTAGGAGACTACTCCCGCACAGCAAGTTTGCAGTATATATTGAGACGTTGATTCGAACCTCGCGTTATTCCACATTCACAGAGCCTCACATACATTAAATTCACTTTTACATTCAGCTAGTAACGAAACGCGGAGAGAGGTGAGAAGGAACAAAAAAAGCAAATAAATAAATAAATAAACCACGCTAAGAGGCGGGTTATTTTGCCTTGCCACCTGCCCTTTGGCACGGGACAGGAGGCAGGCGCGGGAGGTCTGCGCCCGGCCGCGCGTACCTCCTCGTTCTGGTAGGCCGTCACGGCGATGAACTGCGTCTCCGGGAAGGAGTGGCTGGTGATCATGCGCTGCGGGCCGCCCACGCGGACAATGTGGATGCGGGGCTCGTACTTGTGCAGGGAGTTCAGCATGATCTGCGAGGAAGCCGAGAGGCGAGTTAGGCACCGATGGAGACAGGCACGGAAAGCACGTGGAGTAACTCCTGATCCGTTCATCCTTCTAGCAAAGGGGGTGGAGGCAACAAGTGTCAGTAAGTTTTCAGTTATGTGGTTTCCTCRGGGCTGAAGGGACAAGGAAGAGAAGGTATTTGAGCGTGGTACCCCAGCGTCTGGCTCCGCGCTCGGGAGCCAAGGGGGAACCTTATGCAGCTCCGTGTGCCAGGGACCGACGCACCTGCACCACTGGCATCACCCAGCATCCACGCAGGAAGGACGTGAAAGAAGGGAAACAAGGTGCCCACCCCTGCCCAAAGCTGGTCCGTATGGAAAGGAAAGGAGGTGCTGGGGGAAAGGTCCAGGGCAGCATCCCGAGGGCACCCCCAGCGCACCAGGGGCTCCCTGTGCGGAAAGGGGCAGCGAGGGGCTCGGCGGGAAGCAGGGAAGGGGCCGGTGCGGCGCTGACCTGCCCGCCGCCGTTGAGCTTGTTGGTGAGCTTGACCTTGCTGAAGGAGACGGGCGCCTTCATCCAGTGCGCGCCGAAGTTGGGCGAGTCGGGGTGGATGTAGACGCAGCTGGGCGCCTGCGGCTCGGGCTTGCCGCCCGGCACCCACTCGCCGTTCACGTACTTCCAGCGGTGCCCGTCGGCCGCCGCGAAGTCCAGCAGGAAGGAGTACATGGCGTTGGGGTCCAGCCCCGACACGCTCACCTTGAGCACCGGGAACATCCTCCTGCGGGGCGACACGAGGCTCGGCGCGGCCCCGCGGGCGCGCGCCCGCGCCGCGCCCCGCCGCGCGCCTACCTGCCGTTCTTGGTGACGATCATCTCGTTGGTGAGCTCCTTGAAGCGCAGCCACAGCTCGCCCTCCTCCAGCGCCACGCGCAGCTCGCGCTCCGTGGGGTCGCCCTTCTCGCTGCCCGCCTGCAGCTCGCTCTCCACGGCGCTCAGCAGGTGCTCCACGCGGCACTGCAGCGCCTTGCCCTCGGC